AAGTTAAAATGCTTCAGTTCAGAAACTAGATTGAACCTTGCACCTGCTGATGACCAGTCATTTTAAAAATAAAAAAAAGATTGTTGTAAATAGTAATAGAATATAGGTACTAGGTCTTCTCAATTGAATACTCTGCAAAATGCACTTCTTAGGTTCTAGGTTTCGATGATTGCTATTAGCATAAGTTTTTGCAACTCATCCTCTACCACTGCCATTATTGTCCTTCTATTACTATTTTGAATTTTTTTGTTCAATTAATTGATTTTCCGCTACAAAGCGATTCGATTTTATCCAACACCATATTCATTGCATTTAATTTTGAAAAACTAATAGAAGTGGAAATTTTGGTGGTCTGCACAGAGTCCCAGCCAGTCAAGAAACTGCTCCAATTGTTTTTTTAAGGAAATGTTCCAATGAAAAACGAAGTGCTACAAATTGTTGATAAGTAGCTTCTGGATTTCCTCCCGTCTGGTAGAAAAAAAAGCATCGAAGTTTGTACAAAAATGAAGCAACAATATAGGAACTAAATCCTGAATCTCAAAAGAAATCTTCATCAAAATTTTACATGATTTGAGGATACCTTAAGACGACAGCAGCACCCTCGTTTACCCCTCCCTCTTCCCCTCTTATTCCTTTTGCAAGGTGTGACTCTGATTCCTTCAATGTGATCTCCTGGGAGGAAAAAATTTAAGCCCCTATTTCCTATAGGAATTCCCATATTTTATTTTTAGAATCTGAACTATTGTGCTTTGAAGCCACAATTTATCTGCAAAATCTTTCCAGATCGTAATCTGCTGCAAGACAAACAAGACAATCAACAAACAGATATGAATGGGAATAAACTTGTATTCTTTAACTTCCATTAAATAAGAATTTTTTGTAGATAAGATCTCTGAAGTTCTAACCTTACTTCATTAAACAAGCTGCTCTTTAAGAGCGTTGAGTTAAACTGCACAAAATATTTGGGTAAGACTCTTTATAAGATGTTCAATGCACACTGCCTATGCAAAAAAGCGAAAAGCTGCAAAAGTGCGAAAAAAACCGAATTTTCCTCTAACCTCGAATATGACGCATAATACGTCAGGTTTGATGTAACACTAGATACAATGTCACCGACTGCTATATGCGTCACTATATCCCTCCCTATATAAGGTTCGATTTGCGCTATGAAAAACACAGCAGCATGCTCACCAGGAGTCTCGTTGGCCTCGCTTCCATTACTAGTGCCGTACTTATCATCGGTTCTATTGCTTTGATCGGTTATATCTACAACGATTTCAGCGAATTCTATGATAAAGCTCAAGTGGAGTTAGGCGAGTTTAAGGTAAGCATTAAATGAACTTGCGTTTTTCAAAGCCAAATATTTGCGAAATTATAACTTTAGATACATGCCGACAATGCTTGGGAACAAATGGTCTTCTCTATGAAAGATCATCACACTCGAGATACCCGTGCAGTAAAACTCCGTCGTAAAAAGAAACAAACCGCCTCATCCTACGATGGAGGTTCCTCGAATGGTGGTAGTGGAGCATGCAATTGCGCTGAAGGGGCAAACACCTGCCCACCAGGACCTCCAGGGCCTCCTGGTCAACCAGGAACACCAGGAGAAGACGCCATGCCAGGAGAAGACGGTATACCGGGAAAAGATGGAATTAAGATTACAGGTGGTACCAGTGGTGGTGGAAATCAGGGAGGCTACGATTCCGGGGATACCGGCAGCGAATGCACATCGTGCCCAGCAGGGCCACCAGGACCTCCAGGCGGTGTGGGAGCCCCAGGGCCAGCAGGACCAGACGGGAAATCAGGAGCACCAGGCCAGAAAGGAAATGATGGATATGCGGGAGGACCTGGACCTCAGGGAGATGCTGGAGCTGCGGGAGGGCCTGGAC